CTGAAGGCAGCGCATAGGACGGAGTCCGTGTGGCCTGTCATAGAAGACGTGCATCGTGTAACAGGTCGGACTCGGAAGCGAGCCAAAGGATGGTACCTATCACAGACCATTGGTTCGACCATCGAGATCTGTTGCATTGTTACTCACTTAAAGGATTAGACGAGTTTTATTTATCAATACTCACGAAAATTACAGAATTCATGCGGAAACGCTTCACCATCCAACACGACAAGATCAGCCCCTCCCACAACATATAAGACGAGTCTTCACAAACCGTAAAAGCCCCATCACAACAATAACGTCAGTTATTACCGAACTCTCAGGGTCTGCTCAGCAGAAGGCTGACTCTCGAGTGCCGTCCATGCAGCATATAGTGTCGAGGACACTTCCTGTGTGCCTACAGGACACATGCATATCACATCACCATCCCCACGCCGGCCGCCTACTATCGTTCAACACAAAGGAATAATCAGTGTCCTGTATCTCATCTCGCAGGTCCTCATCCTTAGCGCCCTAACATCACACTTCAATACCAGCCATCATACAAAACCCATCTACCTGGCCAACGTCAGAAAGCAGCAACTCCTTCAGGAGCGACTGCAACTCGCTTCTGTCCGTATTTAGTGCCAGACTGAGCTCAGATCCCGTACCAACTCCTGAACACATCACAAACTACTCCTAAATCTCATCCTCGCCCAAGCCTACCATCAGCACTGACGAACTGTATGATGACGGTCTCCTCCGGGGATATTGCAGGGGCCTCCTTCTTCTTCTTTGGGGCCAGAACCCGGCCCTTAGGGGCTGCCCTTTTCTGTGGAGACGGCTGTGTTGTTGCCATCACTAGATAGGAGAGTAGCTCAAGCCTACACGACTCACAAGAGGCCCGAACTCGACCCTCGATAGGAGCTGTAAGTTACAAGGGCTCAATGCAGCGAAGAGCGACGATAGCAGCAGACACAGGAGGAGTAGAAGGAGGAGACGACGATAAAAGGGAGAAGGAAGAAGACATATAAAACGTTTATATTCTTTATCGT